ATACATCCTTAGGGCCTTCCGAAAATCGAATGCTGTTTCATGAAACAATGCCTTACAGAGGTCAAAGACGTCTCATTTTGTTCAGAAATGTTTGCTCTATATGATGGAGTTATTTTCTCGATTGAACTCAGGGGCTTGGTTTTCTGAGATTTGGATTTTCCAGAGACCCTCGTTTCAGAAGTTTCGATAGAACCTTTGTATACACCACATCAGATCGGAAATTGTTTCGGTTATTCAAATCTTTTTTCAAATTTGATCTAGCTATTATGGTCGATGAGCAAAATGAAAGATAAAGGTGCACGAATAATTTCTGGACCCACTGTATGTTTAAGCGGCGAAGTATTTAACACAGTTTTGGTTACTTTGTTCATTTTTTTATCTATTTCATCAGCGAAGTAGATCAACATATCAGCTATCTTTGCTTCAGCTTGAAAACATTCCATATCCGCACTGCATTACCTCTGTTCTCTCACGTTTTTCTGCTTTTTCGTCACTTAACAAGCAAATCAGATTCGATTACCATATAACGGCAATGGTCACTGATGAGAGTGAATCGATCGAAATCTAGTCAAATGCGTTGAACCTTTTTTGTCAATTTTGAAATACAAGATCCTTGCGTTTCATTGATATTTTTTACTGATACTGATGTTATGGGTGAAAATTTCAGCTGAAAATCTAGAATCAAATTTTATTGAATTTAGAGAATCACATCACGCAAATCAGTGATTTGCGTAACTCACTGAGGATTTATTTTAAACTTTTTAATGCCTAATTTTGCTCCGATACGTTTGATTGAAGTTAAGACCAGATATATTCAATGGCATTCAATTCAGGGAATATGGAGGAGCGTCTAGAAGTCCAATACAATGATCTTCAAGCCATGTGAGACTTTAGAGTGATTTTTAATTTGTTGATAATAAAGACGATATCCTAATTCATGACTGTAACATTGATAAGTTCTAGCACAAACACATTTACCGGTACTTAAGAATATTTCCAGGGTTGTTGCAGTGGCTGTTGGTTTTTTTAATTTTTTTAATCTAATTTTCGTTTTTGGACATTCCGAGAGAGAGAAAGGACAATCAGATGATTTTCTTTCACTTATTACTCCTGTGTTGTAATAAAGAGATAATATTTTTCTCATAGCAGTAGTAGAACAACGATGGTTCGCTGCAATTGTTGCTATCTCCTTTCTGTCTCTTTCTCTCTACATTATTATTATTGTTCGCTCGACATCATAAAAATGAGTCAGTTTTGCCTACGTCAAACAAGTAAAAATTAAAGCGAAACAACAAATAAGTAAGATAGAATATATATGTATATGTGTAGTTTACTTTGTTACTTATACAGGAATATATAAATGGATATATAATAGGCCTCTAGCATTCAGATAGAGATATATGTTGTGGTCAAACTTGAAATTCGGTCAAATTTAAAATTTGCCCGGGCAGAACTGAAATTTCAGTTTTGACCGGGCAGACTTAAAATTTTAGTTTTGACCAGAAGAAAAGTTTTGGGCAAACTTAAAATCCGGTCAAATTTAAAATTTACCAGTCAAACTTGAAGTTGAAGTATCTTCTTTCACATTACAAGAACGTAGATGAGACTCGCATTCGTTCCTTAGGGCGAGGTTCCAAAGACTTTGGATTCGGGTATGACCGATAGAGAACCGGTACTAAAAATGTGATTTTTCACGATAAAACCATGCTCTTAGTTTCTACTGTCTCAGCAAATGAGATATTATCAACCAAACTGTACATAGTTATATATCTCATTTGCTGAGACAGAATACTTATCCACTTCACCACGTAAAGGTGGCATGGCTGTCGAGGTGGTCTGATGTTTTTTTTGGTGGGCTCATTCACAAATAATGTGAATGGACCCTTTTTTTGTTTTTTATAAAAAGAATAGACTTTACTTTCAATACAGTTATCGTTCATTTAAGCCTTAATCACTTTGAAAATCAAAATCACATTATACATAAAGAAACTTATTATATCAAATCAAAACAAGATCAATATTTTTTCTAGCTGTGACTAGGTTGGTTTACTTGTTCAAAACTTTCCTAAACTATTTATTTACAATCTTCTATACTGACAACACAAATCTACTATTTACAAACTGACCGCCTAATTTTCCATATTCTGGCATGAACTTTTTTTGAATGACATTTGGTGGAGCAAGCCACTGCTGCTTTTCTACACGGACATTTTTTCGTAGCACACTTTGTTTTACAATCACAAGTACTTCTGCTAACGGAGCCACGAACAAAAAGCTTACAGGCTTCGATAAAAGTAATATTTTCTAAATCTTCAACATCTGTTTCCTTTAAAGGTTTCGGACAAGCAGATTTCAGATCAATAACTTCACCAACTGAGAATGTGTTCGTTAGTATGCCATATTGACATGTTAATCGAAAGATTACAGAATTATTTTTGGATATTTTTTCAACAATCAAACATGGCAAAAACTTAGCATCTGCATTTGTACGATCTGCTTCATGTATTGTAACACCAACACAATCATTTACATTAAATTTATGACTCAAATTGTCAAGATAATTATCATGTGCTTTCATCTTTTTATTTGCTGTTTTTAAATAGTTATCTGTAGCTCTTTTATGTATAAGATCATGACGTGGTACGGAAGAAAGAGATGCTGAAGAAGCAGCAGAATTTGCTGCTGTTGTTAAAGATAACGTTGTTTAATTAGAAGGAAAAGGTTCAGATGACGGTGAAAGCTGATCAAAAGAAGAAGGATTTGCTTTAGAAATGGAAGTAAGAGTTTCATCTATTAATGTTATGGCTGCTTGCGTAGCAGGGTCAGAAGAGACAGAATTCGAACTATTACCTTTCATAATTTGGTCTATTTCGTCTAAAAAACCGAGTAGATCATTTGTATTTGAATCAACAATGTTTTTTTGTGGAGAATCAAAAGATATAAGATTATCTACAAAATAATTCTCTATAACAGCTGTATCATTTGTTGGTCCTGGTGAGGGTAGATCGAATAACGAATTAGAAGAAGCCTCCTCTGCTAACTTTTCAACAATTACACTCACATCACCGTCAACAACATCAGTAGAGTTTTCGATATCATCATCCAAACTAACAACCGGACTTGGTAAATCTTCTTCATCTAGAATTCCATTTTGACTAACAAGCTTCCAAAATTCTGAATCAGAACGAGGCGATTGGCCAAACATCACTTCATATGGTGTTGATTTTGTTGTACTAGAAACTCGAGTATTGATTCCATAAACAACGGGCAACAAACCATCAGACCAATGACTAGAATCATTTTCCAACATCCATTTTCCAAGCGCATCACACAAAACTCCATTCGCTCTTTCAACACAACCTTGATTTTGAGGATGACGGGAACGCCCTCGAACAAAACATAAATTGAACATGTGAGCTTCTGATTCGCTTTCGCTCAAATAAAAACTGCATCGAAAGTAGCGACTTTGGCTGAAAATGTCAGTTTTAAAAATCGACTTTCTCTCATGGCATAAGACGAATTTTGGAAAAATTTGGTGCATGAAGTAGTTCCAACCTTCATCTATCAATAGATGAAAAAATTTCGGTGGGCAACGTTAAGCTCACTGAAAGCCCCTAGTGCCCCCGACAGTAGGTATCACATAGAAATCATTAAATTTTTGGAATAGTATTTTGCATTTCTTGGTTTGAAAAAAGTATTTTAGAACGAAACCAAGCCCATATTCGCGATTAGCGTCAGAAACTGAATCGAAAAATGTATCACTCAGCCAGTTGTTTCAACAATTTGTGCTGCAAAAAAACACTTATTTGAATAACTTTCACTATAGACTACTATCCGTTCCAAAATACAAGCTCGTTGGTTATTTTTTGAATAACTCAAACGGAATAAAAGATAGAGACTGGAGGTTTCCATCATTCACTAGCCAAGGCCTGAAGCTATGTTTTCATAACAAAAAACGAATTTAAAAAGAATTTCAAAGACCGGATTTTCAGGAGATCTATGGAAAACTAGTCACTTGGATGTATAGTCCGAGGTGTCCTCTACAAAACTAGCTCTAAGCGACATCTTAGAAATCCATGGTTCGGGAGCTATGGATGTTTTCCCTGAACCATTAGTACTACTCTGCCGTTAGGTTTGGAACTGTTAGAACATGAAAACATAGGTTATCGACTATGCTCAATCTCGTAGCAATGTTACTTTTCAGAACAAAATGCAACACAACCGAGTGAAAACCGATACTACTATCCGTCCAAAATACAAGGCCATTAGTTACTTTTTGAATAACTTCTGGTAGAAGATAGATAGAGACCTGCGATTTCCAGTTTTGGAAATTAGACACGTGAGAGCATACTTTCGTGAGCAAAAACGAATTTCGGAAAATTTTCCGAGTTTCTCAGCAGATCTTTGGAAAATCACTTCGGTTCTCTGAAAGCTGGTATAGAAATCTATGAATTGTTTTACGTGGATATATAGTCCGAAGTGTCTTCTACCAGAAGTTATTCAAA